CGTTCTTGTTTATTGTGTCTTGTTATGCACGTGATCGGTACCCTCCCCACCATCACCCCGCTCCACTTGGCTTGCCTGATACTGATCCGTGTCGCAAAAAGGTTGAGATTAAACCATTTCATTCTGAAATAATCATGGATATTCTGTACTATTAACTTTTTTCTTCAAATTTGTCTTACAGAAAAACTTCTTTTCATTAAATATTACCTTTTCTCCTTTTTTTGTTATCTATTAACTTGTCTGTTTACACATGTATTCTGACAAATAGCATTGTAGTTAAACTGTTAGTCTGTTCAAAACACGACCAAGTGTGCTTTTTTGTACTGCCGAGAAATAATAAGTAAATAATAAAAGTATCGACAATAATATAACTGCGCTAATAGAAGAAAATCAATGCATAATTTATTTAATGACTTTAAAATCAGTGGACCAATACTTATTTTTATAACTCATTTACTTCAGTAATAGTTTTATGGCCATATCAGTTGAAATATTAGTTTTAAAATGGTGATAAATGAGTTTTTAACAGTATAAACTTCCCAGGAACCAGGTTTAAAGAACCTGAAAGAAACAAGGAAATAAAATATAAAATATAAAAAGGTATTTTGTACTTTGGTATATTTGAGTTGTCTATGAATAAAGAACATCTCTTACTATGAAGGTGAAACATACTCGACTACAATGTTTTTATTTATTTTTTTTTTTTTGTAAGGAAAGTTATGGAAGCTGGTATTAGCTATGAAGAAGACAGGCACATGTCATAAATTGTGAAGTTATAGAATATCAAAACATATTCTGTTATAAAGTTCACAGTGCATTAAAAAAAAACGAGCATTTACTATGAACAAAATTAAAGGAATCAATATTACACAATAGAAAAAGGAAGAGAGTTTCTTTTCAGTTGACTGAATCTGTAAACAAACACTTTTCTAATAGAACACAGACTTACAGGCCCCAATAATCGAAACTATTTTTTATTATTTCTTTATTCTTGACAATGAAATGTTTTATACCTGTCCAGTTTTATATATATATATAGTTATATGTATGCAAGTATTTGGGGTCATACAGTGTGGGTTGCGGAGGTGCATGTGGAGATACATAGATGTCTTATATTGCAACCGAAAATGCAAACGCTTATATTTCTGAAAAGAAACGAGCACACACACGGGCGTGCGCATATGCGTGCGTATTCATAAAGATATGCATAATGTCATGCCTCTCGAGTATGCTCATGTTGATTGTTCTATTCACAAGTTTTCGGCTATAGCGAACTCCGGCCTTCTGCCGTACTTAAACCAGAAAAAAGAAAAGATAACATTTTAATTTATATCAGTAAATCTCTCGCGTGTACGCACACACACACACAGACACACAGACACACACACACACATATATATATATATATATATATATATTTCAAAAACTCTTCTATGAATCGAGGCCTCCGAGTCACTGGCGTGTTTATTTAAAATATAAATACGTAAAAATTCACCTTCCTCTCTGTCGGGAACTGATAGCTCAGGGAAAAATCTCCGACTGATGCCAAATTTGTGACTTTCGATCCTGGCCTGAGGCAATCGGATATCTAGCCGCACTGATGATACAGCTAAATAGTCTGTCTGTGGATGACAATATATATATATATATATATATATATATATATATATATATAATAGGATGGGATAAAGAAGAAATAGTCAAATGCTGGGTAAATCTGCTTAACCAATGAAAAACAAACAACCCAAATTCATAATACCAGAAATGTTTTCCATGTTTCATTCTCTGATGAAGCTTTGATAAAATCGAAACATGATTGATTTATAAATGTTTCCTATTTGTTCTTCATCCTTTCATTCTGTCGGATTCCGATCCATATTTGATTTTAATTCATATATATATATATATATATATATATATATATATATTGTGTATATTTAGGCAGCATTTTTTCATTCATACATGTTTCATTCTATATTATTTGACGAAACATGTATGAATATATATATATATATATATATATATATATATATATATATATATATATATATATATACATTGTCATCCACAGACAGACTGTTTCGTTGTATCACAGCTCATCAGTGTGGCTAGACTAGAAGGTGAATTCAAGCGTATTTATTTTTTAGATAAACACAGTGACTGAGAAAACTCGATTCGATTTACCGAAGAGTCTTGCATTATTAGCTATAATAGTCACTTTTTACAAACCCTCACTTCCTCCCCAGAGAGTTCAACTGAAATAAATTTTTCAGGAGCATATATATATATATATATATATATATATATATATATATATATATGATAGCTGGCCACTCGTATTCAAGGATACCCGTCTATTAGGGCGGCTAGCCAATCCCTATTGCAGACGCTCGTTTAGCCACATTTGTGTTTGTTCAACACCCAGAGAGCCAACCAGTGGTTTATACTGCAACTATGCTGCGCAGACCTTAGTTACAGTTTCTGGGAGAGGGCGTGTTATCTAACCTGATCAACAATCTTAACAAGACCAGCACACTCAAACCCTCGGTCACGATGACTTGTGACTTCGTGCTAGCACAGCTATCGACAGCCCCCAGCCCCCGTCTAACCAATTTCACACACAAGGTTTGGTATGTTTTTCAGGCACTTTCCAAGGGTGCCGCACGTGTGTGTGTGTGTGTGTGTGTATTGGGTGTATTTGGGTTGCAATTTTTCATTTCATTTATTTGATTTAAATCTACTTTCAATGAAAGTACTTTGTTAATGATATCTTTATATATTCGAACCATTTTCTTGGTTTCCCATGCATATTCAAATAAAAATATCTCAGTACTTTCGTCTTTCATAAGACATTGTCAAAAAGTTTTTGTTTCTGCTCTATGTCACTTTCACCATTTTTAAATTACTGCGTCTTCGCGTCCTTTCGGTTTTTAAAATATCGAATCTTCACGTGTCAATCCGTATTGTCGTTTTACTTATAATATATATATATATATATATGTGTGTGTGTGTGTATATATATATATACACACACATTCGCTTACATACTATCACACAAAATTAACATTCGGATGAACACAATGTCCAACGAATTTGATAGTTTTATAAACATGCATATTTTATAAGTATAAAAAGAAAAAATATATAGATAAAATAATTAAGCAAGCAAGTATCATAAGTGTAAGCGCTGATACAATGTAACATCGTTCATTTGATAAAGAGTGGGTCCAGTAACGAAGCATGTCAGTAAAAAAATAGTGGATTCGAGTTTGGATCCATTACCGAAATTCAAATCTAAAATCGATATCTGTAACAAGATCAGAAATTGAAGAAAGGCAAAAATATACGTGTCATTATCAGATGAGCCACGGTAAACAATGGCCCAGTGTTTACAAATATGCAAACAGGCCAAAACCTCTGAGTATATACATATATACGCATGCACACATGCATATGCACCCACACCCACCCACCTACACACTGATATACAAGTATTTGGTATATGTATATTTTTTCTACACGTAAATATTTGTGTGAGAGCGTAGCTATTAGCCTATCTGAATAGACACACACACACACACACACACACACACACACACACACACACACACACACAAACAAAATGTAAATAAACATTAACTCGAATATTATCTATTTATATTTTATTACTGTATATATTCATCATATCTTTACAGAACAGATTTATATTCTAGCTTGCCTATATGTACACATTTAAATACACGGATATAGATAGCGTGTTTTGTTACAATTTCTTCTTCGTGTATTTGCGCATTCATAAACTAACTTATTCCCGTATATATATACATGTGCATATACACACACACACACACACACTATAATAACATGTATCAGTTTTGTTCCCATCACCGAATAAAATGTGAGCGCGCGGATATGAATGAATGAAATAAATTACCATGAAAAACGTGAATCGAAACGATCTCTATATGAAATGCAGTTAAGATGCAATAGGTAATAAGCACAAAATTTATATAATCAGTAGCTAAAAAGAGATGTTTGTAGTCTGATCTTTCTTCTAAATCAAAAATAGACAAGGAAGAGGAGAAACTGTAATAACACAATAAGTACATTAGTATATATATATACATAAACACACACGCGCGCACTATATTGCCTAAACATTATTTTTGCACTGCATTCTATATACATTCACAATTTCATAGTAAAAGCATGTTAATGCCACAAGTTGCATGTTCATGCGAAAGAACAAGTCTAGCTCGATACATATACATATATGTATAGAAGCTACAATATATTAGCTTCATATCATTGCATAATCACTAGTGGAAAATATACTGATAGAAATAGAAGTGCGCTTATGTGTGGGTCTGAATATGACGATTAGCGCATAGAGTTTAACAAATCCAGATTCACATCATACAAATATAAATTCATTTGCATATACATCCACCCGTTAAGACACAACTATATAATTAGATATGCATCGATATCCACTCAGAGTAACGCATAGGAACATACATAGTCGAAGTTTGTCTTGATATAAATGTCGACTTTCAGATACACAATTGCGCACATTTCTTACTCTCCCTTTCATTTCCTTGCTCTCCTTTCAGTTTCGTACGTTCGCAGTTGACTTGTCAACATTTTACATATACGCACAAATCCCACTCACCGATGATCTAGCTTTCCCTTTCTCTCTAACAGCTTCCCTTTTTTCTATCGTTTCCTCTCTACCTTTTCCACTTTACTGTTCTAATCTCTCCATACTTAAACACATACGCGCACACATACACACACACACACACTTATGTAGTCATGAAGAAAGAAGAACAAACTGTAAGAGATTTTACAATCACAGCTTACCGTCCTATACGACTGCCTACAGGTTGTTATTGCTAAATAAAACACACACAGTGGGTCCGGTCCAGCTAAGTTCGAAGCTTCGGAAAACGAGGACCAACTTCAAGGTGTTCATTGTTATACCAAAAGGAGACGATTACTGTTT